TAAGTCAATGTTATTTTATCTCAGCAAAGGGATATAGGAATTTGCTTTCATTTCCTCTGTGCAGGTGTATCTGTGTAGCATTGTGATCAGGTCTTAAGGTTGCAATAGAACTTTGCAAATCACCTGTACCTATTGCTTTTATGTGTAGTATCTTACTACCAGTTTTCCCTATTTTTTTTATGGTAATTTATCTGCTTAAACTCTCCATATTGATAGAGACTATTACTGATTAAGAAGTATTTTCCTGGAAATTTATCCATTAATAATACACCATCAGCCTGTTAAATGTAGTGCAAAGTACTTTGTTGTGATTTCAAAAATTTCCACTGCTTTAATATTTATTTTCCCTTAGCTGTATTTTTAAGTGTCTTTTGTATTTTGTCCTTTTTTCTTGATTAGGTGAATTAGTGATATGTCTTTTTGTTGAGTTTTTTCAAAGATAATTTTTTAAAGTTATTCATTATTTTGCCCACTTTCTAATTCTTGCTTTTTGCTTTTTCAATTTACATTACGGTTACGGTTAATACTTTGAATTATATATTTAAATAAATTCATTTAATTCTGTTATTTATTAATATGAATATTTATGATTTTTCTGTAAACATGTCTTTAGGTATACAGTTGATGGATTCTGGTACATATTTATAAAGATTTATATTTTATAGATGTTTTGCAATTTTATTTCCCTTTAGGTTTTATTTTGAGCAAGTATATACTTTAATATATATATATATGTATTTAATGATTGATTTATTTGAAAGAGCATGAGAAGTGGTGGAGGAAGGGAGAGAATTTTTCCTCCTATTGGCTCACTCCACAAATGGCCATAACAGGTCTGGGCTAGGCTGAAGCCCGCAATCTGGAATTCCATCATGGTTTCCTACATGGGTGGCAAGGGTCCATGTTCTTGGGCCATCTACTGCCTTGGAAGTAGAGTTGGTGGGACTCTGATATGGGATGCAAGCTTTGCAAGCAATGGCTTAACCCATTGTGCCACAACACTGGCCCCTAAAGTAGATATTTTTAATTTGCACTAGGAAGGAATTTTTTGCTATTAATTTCTACTGTTATTGTTTTGTATTTTAAGAATGTTATTTGCATTGTAGATACTTTTAAAAAATTCTGAGAACTTCTTTTATACTAGGAGTGACAGTTATGTTTTAGGAGCATTCTACACACTTAAAAAGAAGGTGTTCTCTGATACTGAGATTTAAATTTGATGTACATTCATAATATCTTTTTTTCATCCAATTTAGTTAGGTCTTTTATATCATAATTTTACTTCTTAATTATTATTTTTACTGCATATATTTCCAGAGTATAAAGTGATAATTTAAAAATATATTCAATGTGTAAAGATCATATCAGATGGGTTAACATTTCTGTCTCTTTAAATATTAAAAAGAATTTAAAAAATTAGGAATAGTTTTACAGATTTTTGAGATATACTGTGACATTGCCAAACATACAATGTGGGGTGATCAAGTCAGGATAAATTATTTTAGGTCCACTTTGTTTTGAGCTCAGAAAGTTGCATTAATGATATCTTTTAATATTATGGCTATGATCTTTACACAATAGTCTCTGCTATACAAAAATTACTGCCATGTTGTTAGTTGTTAAATAGTATTTGTAAACGTTTCATATGTTTATTGTGAATTAAAGCTTTCATCATTATTTGTTATTGTCTCTTTAGTAATTCTTGGGACTGATTCTATTTGATTTGGCATTAACATTGTGACTGTTGATTTCTTTTTCTTGCATTTTCTTGAACATCTAGTTTATTCTTATTTTTAGCTTTTCTACGTGAGCATATTTTCTTGTGTGCAGTGTAAAATTGAATTTTGCTTCATGTGTGGATGAAAAGAATGTGTATTCTGTAGCTGTTGGAAAAAATGTTTTGTAAGATCCTTTATAATTCTCAAACATTTTTAAAGATATGCAACTTAGGCCCATATGCATTCAATGTTCAGAGTCAGTTCATTAGGCCATTTTGTATATTCATTTTATGAGGTGTATATATTTGATTAATGCATATAGTATTAGTTATGTGATATTTGTGCTTTTTTATAAAATGTTTTTGGTGTTTAGGGAGATATAGCTTTAATCTCGGCTTTCCATTATCCTACTTTTATTTAGCTTTTTAAATTTCTGTTTATTTATTTTTAATTATTAACTACAATAAAAGAGAATTTTAATATTCATCCAAACTATTTTCATCAGATTTAATGTCTATTTAATTGCTAATTGCTTATCTTTGTACCCTTAACTACACTTAATAGTTATTTTTTTGGTATTTTACTGGAAAGCTTTAAGTGATTTCCTTTGATCTTACAAAGTAATAAGTGAGATTCAATTTTACTTACTCTTTTCCCATATTAAAGATTCTGTTGTGTTCAGTTTGTGTGAATATGAATTTCATTTCTGCCTTTCCACTGACCTTTTGTTTCAGTTGTAGAGCCACCCAAGAATGTCTTCAGTCCTTACAACTTATTTTCTTACTGAAGTTTCCAATACATTGAGTTGTGATTCATAGCATGACATTTATCCTCCAATAGATATTTTAGAAAAGGGAAACGGGTACAGTTTTGTGAGAGCTTATATGCTTAATACTGTTTTTCAATCATAAATAATTGCTTAGCTATATATAAAATTCATGGCTCATACTTTCTTTTCCTGAGTATCTTTTATGTGTTTCTCTAGTTTTTTACTTATTTAAATGTCTTTTTCATGAATTTTGTTGCCTATATATAAATTTTTTCACTTGTTGAACTCTATTTAGTGGGACATTAAGTCTTTGACCATAATGTGTATTAAAATATGTTATCTCAAAAATGACATCTTGGTTTTTTATTCATTCAGCTAACCTAAATCTTTCAGCTGGAGAATTTAATCCAGTTACATTTGAGGTTAGTATTGATAAGAACTAACATCTATCATATTGTTAATCAGTTACTGATTATATTTGTTCTGTTAGTGAATTTGGTAGTGTCATGTGTTTTCATGGTGTTTACTTCTAAAGCAGGACTCCCTTCAGAATTTCTGGTAAGGCTGATCTGGTGTGGTGAATTCTCTCTTTTTGCTCATCTGGGAAATGCTTTATTTCTCCTTCACTTCTAAGGATAGCTTCACTGAATATAATATTCTTGGTTGGAAGTGCTTTTCTTTTAAGATCTTGAATACATCATCCTGCTCTTTCTAGCCTGTAGGGTTTCTGCTGACAAGTCTGTTGTTAGTCTAATTGGGTTTCCTTTTTAGGTAACTTGATGCTTTTCTCTCACTGTCTTTAGGATGCGATCCTTGTCCTTAACTTCTGACAATTTTAGTATAATATGCCATGGAGAAAATTGATTTTGGTTGAGTCTGCTTGGGATCCTTTAAGCTTCCTATATCTGGACGTCTCTTTCAAGACCTGAGGAATATTCAGCTATTTCATTTAGCGGGTTCTCAATGCCTTTTTCCTTTTCTTCTGCATCAGTAATCCTTATAATATGAATATTTGTTTTAATGGTAGCCCTGTTTCATATAGACTTTCCTCATTCTGTTTAATTCTTTTTTCTTTATTTTTGCCTGGTTGGGTTATTTCAAAAGTCTTGTCTTTGAGGTCAGAAATTCTTTCCTCCACTTGGCCTATTCTGCTGTTAAAGCTCTCAATCATATTTTTCTAAAATTTCTATGTGATTCCTCTTAGTGATTTCTGTTTCTTTAACAAACTTTTCTTTCATGTCAATCATTGATTTCCTCATTTCTTTAAACTGTCTATATGTATTCTCTTGCGTGACATTGAGTTTCCTTTCAAACATTGTTTTGAATTCCATTTCTGGCAATTCATACATTTCCTTCAGAAGAGGATCAAATAATGGGGAACTATTGTGTTCTTTTGATTTTTGAAATCATTTCTATCTATTTAATTGAAAATTAGAGTTACAGTGAGAGAAGGAGAGAGAAAGAGAGATATCTTTCATCTGCTAGTTCACTCCCTAGATGTCCACAACAGGCAGGTTTGGGCCAGGCCAAAGCCAAGAGCCAGGAATTTCATGTGGATCTCCCACATGGGGGGCAGGGGCTCTAACACTTGGCCATCCTCCATTGCTTTTTCCAGTTATCAGCAGGGAGCTGGATCAGAAGTGGAGTGTCTGGGACATGAACAGCAGCCTTATCTGTTTCGCTATAATACGTGTTCCAGCCCTGTTGTGTTCTTTTGGAGGTGCCACATTACCCTGCTTCTTTAAGCTTCCTATGTTTATCTCCCTGTGTTAACATCTGTGCATCTAGTGTAGTGGTCTCTTCTTTATGGAGTAGATTTTACTGGAGAAGAGTTTGTGGTTTAGATGGAATGTGAGGTATCTTTTTGCTTTGGCTTTTGTTCCAGGTAAGCCTAGAAGTATAGCCTCTGAGCGATTTTATTTTATTTTGCTAAATCTTGTCATTTGTGTCTATAAGTGATACAGTGGTCTTGTCTACAGTGGTTTGCATTGGGAGAACTGTGACTTTGAGGTGAACTTGTGCTTCCTAGGATGTGTATCTTCAGTCCCCGAGAATCTGGTCTCAGTTACACTGCAGGTTGTGAGAGCAGGTCCTTAACCTCATCTTTGTCAGATGGCTATTATCCACAAGACAGAAACTACAGACTTTGGTGAGGATATGGAGAAAGAGGAACTCTTACATACTGTTGGTGGGACTATAAATTAGTGTAACCACTGTGGGAAACAGTACAGAGCTTCTTAAAAGTAGAAATAAGCCTCCATTGATCCAGCAATTCCCCTCTGCTATACCCAAGCATGAGCATGGTGGCTCCTTAGCTTATTCTCGCCTGCGCGCGCACACTGGTCTAGTCCCGGTCGGGGTGCCGGATCTGTCCCGGTTGCCCCTCTCCAGGCAAGCTCCTCTGCTGTGGCCAGGGAGTGCAGTGGAGGATGGCCCCAAGTGTTTGGGCCCTGCACCCCATGGGAGACCAGGATAAAGTACCCTGGCTCCCTGCCATCAGAATCACACGCGGTGCGCCGGCTGCAGTGCGCCGGCTGCAGTGCGCCGGCTGCGGCGGCCATTGGAGGGTGAACCAACGGCAAAGGAAGACCTTTCTCTCTGTCTCTCTCTCTCACTGTCCACTCTGCCTGTCAAAAAAAAAAAAAAAAAAAAAAAAAAAAAGAGATACCTGCACCACCATGTTATAGTAGCACTGTTCACAATAGCCAAAATGGAATCATCCAAGGTGTACATCAGCAGGTGAGTAGATAATGTGGTACACACACACACACACACACAGGGATATTATTCAGCAATACGAAAGTATGAAACTCTACCATTTGTATCAAAATTGATGCTACTGGAGGAAATCATGTTGAGTGAGTGAATGAAGACAGACAGAAAGAGAAATACCGCCTATTCTCCCTTCAATGTGGAAGCTAAAGTTGAAAAAAAACCAAAAAACCCTGAAACCAAACAAAAAATAATAGAAATAAATCCCTGTGTTTATCAGTACTGAGGCAAATATAATTCTGTTAAGCTTTGTTTTATATCTTTATCAAACCAGTGGTTAAAAAATGCTATCTTATTATAGTTTTAGTGATTTGTGATTATTTTAAAATTTATTGTATATGAGTATAATGATCATATAATTCATTTGATTATTGTTTATAGCCCTTGCCTATATTCCTGCTGAACTAGAGTCTAGTGGAACATTAAGTCTTTGACCATAATGTGTATTAAAATATGTTATCTCAAAAATTAAAAAAGTAAGGAAGGAAGAGAGGAAAGAAGTAGAAGGGTGAGGGAGGGAAGGAGGGAGTAAGTATCTTTATTAGATTGTATCTACTAACTACATTGAATCTGTTCTCTTTGTATTGATAGCACATTAACAGAATTGATGAAAATTGTGTTGTAATGATTATTATGCATTTGCTGTGATGCTCAGAATCTAATGTAGTAATAAATTCCTTAAATAAAAAAATAAAAAAGAAAACCTAGGCCAGTCTTTTTTTTTTTTTCTTTTTCTGTGGTTGTTCGCTTTGTAAGAGACCTTCTTATAGGTTTGTCTTTTCTACAGTATCATATAAATTAAAATCATGCAGAATGTAGCCTTTAGTGTCTATTTTCACGTAGTACAATGCTTTCTGGATGCAGTCTTGTAATGAGGTATCTTAGTAGTTAACTTCTTTCATTTATGAAAAGAATTACGTTGGATGATTTTTACCAAAATTTTTCTTCATGGATTTTAGTGGACATTTTGACCTTTTCTAGTTTTTGGCTATCTTAAGTGAAAGACCACCACAAATCACACCAAACACTGGAGTTAAAGAAAAAGTTTATTGTCTGGGGGATGGAAGGGATCTGATAGGTTGGAGAGAGAGGGCAAGAGAGAGAGCCTGTGTGGAAAAATAGGTCTTATTTATAGCTTTGCAGAGGTAAGCAAGTGGGAGCAGCGAATCCCGTTAGGGTGCAGGTGGAGCTGATGCTTCTGGTTGGGCCATTTTGTCACCTGACTTCTAGTAAGCCAGGCTGGGCTTGGGACAGAAGTTTATTGTACAAGATGGCTATGGGGCCAGAGCATAAAACAGCATCTGAGGTTTAAGGTGGTGCATCAGATAAGACAGCACTGGTTTTACTAGCATTACTGCTTCATTTTGTAGGCCTTTGTTTGAGCCTAAATCCTCATTTCACTTGGGTAAGTAATTGGAAGTGAGAGTACATGGTATTTATATGCTTGACTTGTTTACAAAGAGTGCTGACCTGTGTTATAAAGAGCCTGTGCCATGTGATATTCCCCACAGCAATGTTTCAGTGGTCCAGTTGTTCTATCCTTATTCATACTTATCAATAGTCTATTTAAATTTAAGCTCTTCTAATAGATGTCTTGTAGTAACTCATTTTGATGTTAATTTACATTTTCATGCTAATGCCATAGAGTCTTATGTTATTTATATGTTTTTTAATAAAGTATATGTTAAAATATTCTGCTCAACTTTTGAGATATTTGCCATGTTTATTGTTCTACTCTGAGTTTTAATGTTCTGATGTGTAGATTTTTTTTTAAATAATTTCATTTATTTCAGAGGGAATCATCCACTGGTTACCTCCCAAATGGCTGCAATGTATAATGCTGGGCCAGGGTCAGAGCCAAAGCTGAGACCCAGGAACTCAATCCAGGTCTCCAGTGTGAATGGTAGGGACCCAATTACTTGAGTCATCTCTGCTGCTTCCCAGAGTATGCATAAACAGGAAGTTAGAATCAGAAGCTGGATCCAGGGATTGAATCCTGGAGTTCTGTTGTGGGATTCAGACATTTTAACTGCTAGGCTAACCACCTGCTTCTCTGTTGTGTTCTTTTCTGTTTGTAATTATTTAATTTTTAAAAAATTTTTAAGTTATACAAGTTTCATATATTTAATTTATGTTGGTTTTGTGATTCAGTTTTCCTTTGCTTCAGTTGTGCGTATAGGCATGGAAGTTTTTCAATTTGGCAGAATTTTGAAATCCAGGCACAGATTGTTTAAAATGAACATTTCCCATGAACTATTAGAAGATTCCTTATATGCATGAATTTCAAAAAATCCCTTTTTCAGGTTTCAGATGTGGATGGCAGGAACCCAAAGGCCAGATTCCTTGCTTGCTGCTTCCCTGGGTAGCAGAAAGCTGAAATTGAGAGGGAAGTCAGGTACTCTGATGCGGGGTGCAGGTGTCTTAACCAGCAGGTTAACCATTAGACCAAATACCCGTCCTGGTAAAAGATCTTAATAGACCTTGAAAATGAGAATCTCAGAAAAGTATATTCATTTTCTCTCTTTATCTGTATATCTACTCCATTCAGATATTGAACTATCAGATTTGCAGGGTTTGCAAATGAAAAGTACACCATGACTCATGAATCATGTTATCCTTATGAAAGATAAGCATGAAAGGCTAAGGGATCATTTCTTTTTAAAGATTCATTTATTTATTTGAAACTCAGAGTTACACAGAGAGAGAAGGAGAGGCAGAGAGAGAGAGAGAGAGAGGTCTTCCATCTGCTGGTTCACTCCCCAGATGGCCTCAACGGCCAGAGCTGTGCCAATCTGCAGCCAGGAGCCAGAAGTTTCCTCCAGGTCTCCCTCGTGGGTGCAGGGGCCTAAAGACTTGGGCCCTCCTCTATTGCTGGATTGGAAGTGGATCACCTGGGACTCAAACCCGTGCCCATATGGGATGCCAGCACTGTAGGCAGTGGCTTTACCTGCTACGCCACAGCTCCGGCTCCCAGAGAGATCATTTTAAAAAGTGGAATCCATTTGAGTTAGTATGCATGTGAAAAAAATGTTTCCCACCTGTAGGTATCTAGAAATAGTAATGTAGCATTACTATATAATAGTATAATATTATAGCATTCACCTGTAAATAATTGAACATAGTCCCATCTGGGGCAATTAAACCTTTTTCTAAATAGCATGAGCTCTGGAGACCATGAAGAATTAGAATTGTTATAAATCTAAATCAGAGTGTAGTCTCCTTAGCATTCTGATTAGGTGCCTCTGTGATCCAAACAATAATTGCAAACCAGAAAGCTTAATAAGTTACAAAGAACTCCTGAGGTTCTGTCTCCCAGAGCTGAGATTTTATAGACAAGTCTTTAATTGTGTGGTTTCTGGGACTTTCAATTGAATACTTTTTTTTTTTTCTTTAAGGTGAAAAGATGGTATCCAGGACCTCCCTATATGCCACCATAAATATTTGTTTTTTTTTTTTAATTATTATTTATTTGAAATGCAGAGTTACAGAGACAGAGAGAGATAGATGTATCCCATCCACTGGTTCACTCCTCAAGTGAGTGCAACAGCCAGGACTGGGCCAGGCTGATTCCAGGCACCTGGAATTCCATCTGGTTCTTTCATGTGAGTGGCAGGGGCCCAAGTAGTAGGGCCATCTTCTGTTACCTTCCCAGGCTCATTAGCAGGGAGCTAGACTGGAAGTGGAATAGTTGGAACTCGAAGTGGCACTCATATTAGTGGTTTAACCTGCTATGCCACAATACTGGCCCCCAGATGATGGAGCCACAGCTGGAAACAGCCTACTACCCTACAACACTGGCAACCAGAAATTTGCTTTTAATATAAATCTTGGTAAGACATTGATGTACCATTAGTATTTCCTGAATAAAATATCCAGCAATAGACAACCAAGTTCACTTGTCCTTGACTCTGTTAGGGCAAAGGTAACAGTGGAGATATCCTTTACTGGTGGAGCCTGCAGCATTCAAGATGGTGATAGAGTGATTGAGGAGGCAAATGGGTTATGTGATTCTTCCCAAACCTAACACCCCAATTAAAACCCCCCAAAGGCCCTAGCTGAGGATTAAAAGGTTGAAAAATACAAAACAAAGATAGCAACAACAACAACAATAGTAAAGTCACCTCTCCATCCTCCCTGACTTTATGATTTTCTTATTTCTGGCCTAAGGGTTCTCTTTATACTTTGGGAGGAATTTCTGGCCTAAGTGTAAAGACATTACTTTAGCCAACTTTGATGTATCAGTTTTAGCAAAGAAGAATAATGATAATTGGAACATTCCTCTTTGCCTTTGGATTATATTTGCTCATTTGGCTTTTTGTAGTCAACTATATTTTATATGATATTTGTGTAGGAAATTATAAATAAATTTTAGTTCCATAATAAGCTCCTTGAATGGTGAGATAGTAATGGACATAATCATGACAGGCTGATAAAATAATTATTTTACCAAAGGTCATTCATTATATAATAAGCTAGTAAGTAGTATCCTGACTATGCCTGACATTTTGTACTTGACTCCAGTAGCTTTCTATGCAATGAACCTTCAAGGATAAGTATAACATGTGATTATGCATGATATTTGATTTTAAGGATAAACAAGAATGTTGTGCCATATTCTTTACTCTTCTAATATCACAGACCTCATCATTTATGATTTGTTTCATTTAGTTATAGAATTCATCTCATTTTGTGAGTTATCTGCTAAATGAAAATCTTCCCCATGAGCCCATTTTCTTTAGCTTTTCAGATCATGAGTTTTTTAGACAGGCAAGAATGAAGCATTCTGATAGAAATAGATGCCTGATGAAGGTGAGGATGCTAAAAGAATTAAAGCAACTGTATGCCAACCATTGTTCTAAGCCATAGGAAAACAGTCATAGATGAGAAATTGTTCCTTGTCTCAACAAGCTCCCAAATAGTTGAATGAATAAAGTATGAACTGCCATTACTCTGTCTCCAAAACACTGTCTTTAGCAGTGCAAGTGCATAATTATTTTTGAGGTAATATGAAATAATGTCATAATTTTTCTCAAACTCACATCTGGACCTACTTGTTTGTCCCTGAAAATTTGGAACTTTCAAGTGAATGTAGTGTTTCAAGAGCATCACAAACAGATCATCCAAAGCTCACCAGGTATATTCCACCAGGTGTCCAAGAGAAGCCTCCCTGCAGACTGGATTCTGGGCTCCGAATCATCACTGACACAATTTGCTTCCATAATTAGTCAATACTGAATTGAATCCACTGCCTTTATGCCACTATCAAAGTTTTTTACATAATTATTTCTACTTCTTTGTTCCTCTGTTTATATCTGAATCTAAATCTTGAATATGCCTGTATATCTTCTCAGTTTAAGTGAATTATCCTCAACTTCGAAAGCAAAGTTCAAAATCTGCCCTTTCATGAAGATCCTCTTGACTGTTGAAGATGATAGTGATTGAGATGTTTGATCTATGAGCCCAAACCTTATTGTGCCACACACGGTATATGTTTCTTCATTCATTCAGCAGTAAATACATTTGCTTGACTAACTAATGAGGCTCCAAAGAGGCTTATTTTTCTATCAGTCTACTTAATCTATTGTAGAAGCCCCAAATGATAGGCTAGCTTGGGAACAGTTCTTACAAATACACAAACTTGCAAACCTCAGGTGATAAGAAATTCTTGGGACTACTGGTCTTTATATTTCTAGATATTAAATACTGAGACTGGGAATGAAAGTCACAGTTCCTTGTTATCTGTTCAGGAAGAAGTTATAGTTCATCCATCTTAATTCCTACAGTGAGGAGGGTAAGAAGAAAGAAGAGAAACTCATCTGCAATTTTCAGGAGGAAGAAAGTGTTTTGGAATTACGGTGTTCATCTTGTGTGGCCATTAAAACGTATTCTGAAATTGACTGCTGATTGTCCACATGAGCCCAAAAGTTTCTGCATGTTTTCAGGTCACCAAGACATAGGAGTAGACAAAAGAGGCCATGGGCAACCATTTAAGCCTCATTTGTTCTTTGACCACTGATCTCATTTAGTAGACTAGAGCTGATGTTGTGAATTAATATGTGAAATCACCAGCTTTAAACATATTTACACAGACATGACAATGCACAAAGTGTGTTAATGCCATTGTCTTACTTGATTTGCATGATATTTTGAAGCAAGTATTATTTTTTTATGGGTGAAAGCATGACACACAGACTCTAATGAGTTACATATTGCACTGTAAGCCTTAAAGCTGGAATTGGAACTAAATCTCGTGACTCATGATTAGGGCTCTTTTTGCCTCCTCTGTACTAATGGTTTCTTTCTTGAAAGGGAGGCAATTAAGATTTGCCAAGTCAGGTTCAGAAAACAGTATGTATTCTAGACTTGTGCTGTCTAATATATAACTACCTGGCACAGGTGGCTACTGAGCATTTGAAATGTGGCTACTTTGACTTTTGTATTGTTAGGTGTAAAATACACTACAGACTTAAAAAAGAACATAAACTTCATTAAGATTTTTATATGGATTACATATTGAAATGATAGTATTTTGTCCACACCAAGTCGAACAGTCTACATCATTAAAATTGATTTTATCAGTTGTTTTTGCTTTTATAAAAATAGGTTTCTAGGAAACCTTAAATTTTCCATGTGGCCATGTTATATTTCTAATGTGCAATGCAAAGCACATTCTACTTTTGAAAACATCTTCAATTGTCATACGTTTAATAATATTGTGTCATATACCGAAATGTTTAAAAACCATCTTACTATACATTCTATTTTTTTTTTTTGACAGGCAGAGTGGACAGAGAGAGAGAGACACAGAGAAAGGTCTTCCTTTTGCCGTTGGTTCACCCTCCAGTGGCCGCCACGGCTGGCGCATCTCGCTGATCCGAAGCCAGGAGCCAGGTGCTTCTCCTGGTCTTCCATGCGGGTGCAGGGCCCAAACACTTGGGCCATCCTCCACTGCACTCCCTGGCCACAGCAGAGAGCTGGCCTGGAAGAGGGGCAACCGGGACAGAACCCGGTGCCCCGACCGGGACTAGAACCCAGTGTGCCGGCGCCGCAAAGTGGAGGATTAGCCTGTTGAGCCACGGTGCCAGCTACTGTGCATTCTAAATTACATTTTAAAATGTATTAATATATAGAGAACAGATTTCATGAATTTTATAGATATGACTCCAAGAATACAACAATATTTCCTCTCTCCTTCCCTTACTGCCTCCTCCCTTCTTTCTCTTAATTTTTTTTTTTTTTTGATAATTGCTAACAACACATGAGTCCCATGAATAAGGGTAGTGCTTTATTTTAGAAGGTACTCAGACATGCCATCTAACAAAATTTCATCTCTGTTATTAGTAGTTGATTAGATATAGTAGATGCTGGTTACCATTTCTAATTTTAATGTGTATTAAGACATATTTGTATAACATTTCTTCCTACAAGCACAACAGCATAATAGAATTTTTTGTAACAAGCTGTTAAATGTGACAAGCTGTTTATTACACTGCTGTAGAACTGCAGCATTCAAATACAGGTGGAAAAATATTGATATATAAAATTGTGCAGTTTCTATGTTTTATTCAAGAGAGCTTTTCTTGAGAAGATGCTTACAGAGACGAGCTTAATGTGATCATATAATGTTTTTGGTACAGAGATAAAATAGGGAGAGGTTTAGAGGAGGGAAAAAAACAAGAAAGAAAATTTCAGCTTCAAGAGGGAATAATCTAACATACTACCTCTCAAACTTTGATGTATACACAAGCCCTGTCGGGATCTTGTTAAAATGCAGATCCTGATTCAGTAGGGGATGAGGGTAGGACCTGGAGCTGCACATATCTAGCAAGTTCCCCAGGAGTACTGTTGCTGCTGGCCTCTGAATCACACTAATAACAAGGACATGAGCCAAAAATGTTTGTGGGAAGTGCAATACTGGAAAGAGAGATCTAACCAAGAAGAGCAGAAAACAGGACACTGGAATAAAACAAAGACCACAGGCAACATGGAAGACATGTTTCTTTGATGGCATGCCCAGTTGGATTAGGGGAATGTGGGAAAATTAAATACATTCTGGGAGTGGTCAGTGTATTTGTGATATTTGGGATAGATTAAAGGAATGCATGGGAAAACCCATGAGATAAAAGCAGAAAACTGTACATGAGTGCCCTCGAACACTCTTGATATTTTTGTGTAGTCTCTGTGACTACACTGTACCTGTGCATGCTAATTGATGCGAGAGGGCAGGAAAGGAAGACTCTGATGTTTTGGTAATGGGCACAGGGCAACAGGACACTGTTTTGCAGATGATTGCCCATCTCCATCCCTGAGGATGGCAGAAGAGCAGATCCAAAAAAATATATATTCTGTGGAATTTGAAACCTGCTCAGAGCTCAAGTTGCCAAAGAAGATGTCCTTGTCCTAATAAAGCAATAATGATTGTGATCAAAATGACTCAAGTGACCTCTTGAAAAGCCAAGGAGTAACGCAGATCCTGAGCTCAGCAACAAGAGAAAATGCTGACTCAGATGTCTGAGCAGATTCCCATACAATCTCTGGACACATGTGAGGAGGTGGAGGGGGTTTTGTGAGCTGCTCAACATTCAGAGAACCATGGTTAGATTTCTCAGAGTTAAGGACATGGTAGATCCCAGATCAGGCAAGTCAAAGAAGTGCAACATCTTTGCCCTCTCCTGAAGAGAGGTGTGTTTGTAGACAGGAAGTGCTGTTTGGGTGCCTCCATGAGGAACACAGATATCTGGGTGTTTGGCGTTTCAATATGGCAGCAGTTGAGCATCATGAAATTCTCAGTGGCTTGGTGAGAGGTAGGCTTATCCCATAGGACGGCCAAAAATTCAGAAGATGGAAACACTTCAGGGAGGTCTGCTGTTAACCAACACCTACATGTGCTGAAGTATAAGAAGAATAAACCTGCCACTTGGGCATCAACTTACAGTTGGATGAAAAATAAAATGATGTAAATACCCATATTTTCCTGAAATGTGTTCTGAGCCACACTAGTGTACAGTATGACTTGAAAATAAGTATGGGGAAGATCTATTATCACATAAGTTTGGAAAAGACTGTCTTGTGGAGTCCTCTAGGAAGACTGAGCCATCCTTTGGTTAAGTTAACTCTGTGTAAATCATACAGTGTTTGGTCACTTATTTCATATGCCTATTAGCAACTCCTCAGGACTAAAATTCTGTGGAACACTCTTGGAAACCTTGACATAACTGACCTGTTCACAGGAAGTTCTGGAGATGGGGTCAGCCTAGGTAACTGTGTCATCAACAAAAGTATCTTCACCCCCAGCCTCCTCTTTATACACCTCTTGAACTGATTTGCTTTAGACCCCAGCATGGTCTGGGTCTTGTCTTCAGCATTAATCTTGCCTCTCACTCTGGAGTGAAAGGACTTAGTCATTTTCTGAAGGAACTGGAGAGACTGGTGGGCATAGGAACATGTGTTGATTGTTCATATAATCTACAAGCAAGGTAGATGTTCTTAATGACTGTTTTTTTTCTGGGTGCTTATTTTTTGGTTTTCATCATACAAAGTCAGTGTTTTCATAATTAGAAATATTTTGGCTCTGGGGAGTTGGAGATAAGTGGGATTCTCTCTGTCTAATGTGACTCTTTCCCTCTCATCTTCACAGAATTATCAAAGGAGGCTGACTATGAGAAACCATTCCACAGTGACTGTCTTTCTCCTTTCAGGCCTCACTGAACAACCAGAGCTTCAGCTGCCCTTTTTCTACCTCTTCCTAGGGATTTATGTAGTTACCACTGTGGGAAACCTTGGCATGGTCACCATTATTAGGTTGCACTCCCAACTTCACACTCCCATGTGCTATTTCCTCAGCAGTTTATCTTTTTTCGATTTCTGCTATTCTTCTGTCATCACTCCCAAAATGCTGGCTGGGTTTTTATATGGAGATAAAGCCATCTCCTTTTCTGGATGCATGGCTCAGCTGTTTTTCTTCTGCATTTTTGTCATTTCTGAATGCTACATGCTGGCAGCCATGGCCTGTGATCGCTATGTTGCCATGTGTCGCTCACTGCTCTGCAACAGCATCATGTCCCTGTTGGTCTGTTCTCTGCTGGTGGCTGCTGTCTTCTCAGTAGGTTTCACTGATGCTATGATTCATGGTGGCTGTATATTAAGGTTGTCTTTCTGTGGACCAAACATCATTAAACATTACTTCTGTGACAAAGTCCCCCTCATTAAACTCTCTTGTTCGAGCACTTACATAGATGAACTTCTGATTTTCATCATTGGGGGATTTAACATGGTAACCACCAGCCTGACAATCATCATTTTCTATGCTTTTATCCTCACCAGCATCCTCTGTATTCATTCAAAAGATGGCAGGTCCAAAGCCTTTAGCACCTGCAGTTCCCACCTGCTGGCTGTTCTTATGTTTTATGGGTCTCTCATGTCCATGGATCTCAAACCTGCTTCTAGCAGTTCACTAGTCCAGGAGAAGGTGTCCTCAGTATTTTACACCACGGTAATTCCCGTATTGAACCCCCTGATTTATAGTCTGAGGAACCAGGAAGTGAAAAATGCACTGACAAAACTTTTAAGAAGAAAAATATCTTCATAAGGAATGTGTTCTTTATTAATATTCATTGATATATTCATACCCATGTTTATATGTATGTGGACATAAATATATACAATATATGAGGATATTTCAATAAATTTATGGAAAATGGAATTGAACATTTATTTTGGTTAAAAAATTGAAATTCATGCATAGAGCAGCTTTCAAAAAGTTGATGGGTGTTAATATGAAAAAAACTATATATTTCCAAGATTATTTGCACTAAACTAAACTTATAATTCTATCCACACCCTTGTGTGTATTTTGAGATAACAAAATATATGCACAAGATACAACCAAGATGCTGGAACAGGGAGGGAGCTTACTGGTCTTATCCAAGGGAAGATAGTTAAAACTTGGAGAGAGTCCAATCTCAGGGAAGAGTTAGGTAGAAAATGGCAGAGGTAATTCCATGCAAATTAGTGGAACACTGTGGACCTACAGGGAGGGTGTGGAAGTGCACTACTCAGGACCCTAGCAGCAAAGAGCCTAAGCACCAGCTTTGGGGAGTGAGGTGAGACCAGACTTCAGCAGCCCATGTCAGTGGTGATGAAGCTGTGGGAAGAGCCTGGCATGAGTTGGGCTTGGAGCCTTGTGCAGGGCAGTGTACCTGCCAACCCAGAGGGAAAAAAAGTAGGAACATGTTTCTCTCTCTATGACAACTGAGCACCAACATCCTGTAACTATCTGAGACAGAGCAGGCACCATTTTGGACATACGTAAATGTACACCAGCTAATGTCCATGAGCCCAGCATCCAGCTGAGCAGAAACACCTGAGTATGGCTGGGAGGAATGACAGGGCTGGGCGCTCGGGACTGTGGGAGCCTTGTGTGTTGGGACTGCGAAAACACTGTGGTTTTGTGTGAGGGCCCTGGGAGTGCCTGGGCCTTTGGGCAGTCACTGTGGCTGGCTCCACACATTCTGGGCTCCCTGATTCCTTGGTGAGGGTCCTTGCTGTGGGAGCTGTGCTCACACCAAGGACTGCATGGATCCTTTGTGTGGTTCTTGTGGCCGTGCGAATGAATACTGTACACACTGGGGCTAGCGGTCAGGCATCGGTCTCCTTGGAGGAGAGGAGGTGAGCATGAGACTTTGCCAACAGAGCAGATTAATCCTTCCCTCTGATGAAAAAGAAGAAAATATTTACCAACCCAATTTGCATGTCACCTTGAACAATCTCCTCACCCTGAAGCACTGAACAGAGCTCCCTGGCCACACCCAGAACTGAAAAAGCAGATACTCCACTAATCCACAGAGGCATAGTCCAGAGATAAAAAGCCATCACAGGGGAAAAAAACAAAAAAACAAAAAAACAAAAAAAAAAACCAACCACCAAGTATCTCCACGAATGCCCAAAAATAAATGCAGCAGCTCAAGAGACAGGAATATGGAAGACAACAGGATGCCTCCAAAGGAACACAGCAATCCTTTAATACTAGAATGAGAAATGAAGAGATTGAAGAAATTCTGGAAATGGAATTCAAAAAATTGATCATAGGATTACTTAGAAGTAATCAGAAGCAAATTTACAAATTAAAGAAATCCATACATGGCATGAATGAATATTTTTCCCATGAAATTGAGATTTCAAAAAGAAGTCAAAATGAAATATTGGACATGAAGAATTCAATAGAACAAATAAAAAATGTGGTGGAAAGCCTAAGGAACAGACTTGTTGAGGCAGAAGAAAGAACATTCGAGTTAGAAGGGAAATCTATGGAAATTTTATAGTCAGACCAAAAAAGTAGAAGAAATTAGAAAACTAAAAACTAGTGATGGAGATTTATGGGACACTATCAGCTGCGGGTCTTAGGAGTTCCTGAAGGCTTGGAAAGAGAAAATGGATTACAAGGCCTACACAATGATATAATTACAGAAAACTTACCTAATTTGGAGAAAGAAAGGAATGTCCAAGTACAAGAAGCACATAGAACACCTAATAGACATGACCAGAAAAGATCTTCACCACGACACATTGTAGTCAAACTCTTCACAATAAAACATAAATAAAAGATGCTAAAATGTGTACGAGAGAAACACCAGGTTTCTTCCACAGGATCTCCGATTAGACTCACAGCTGACTTCTCATCAGAAACCCTACAGGCTAGGAGAGAATGGTGAGATATATTCCAAGTCTTAAGAGAAAAAAACTGTCAACCCAGAATACTGTACCCTTCAAAGCTCTCATTTATGAATGAAGGTAGAATAAAGACCTTCCATAACTAAAACTGAAAGAATTTGTCACCACTTATCCAGCCTCATAAAAGATGCTTAGGGATGTGCTACAAACAGAAGCCTGGTCATCAGTATGAAAGGTGAAGGCAGAAAATCTCCCAGTAAAAGTACCAAGGAAATATAAGGTAAACAATAGAAACATTTATGGAAAAATGGCAGAGAAATTGAACGTACTCTGATTTTTTTTTGTAGTTCCTTAGATTTCAGAATATCCTGTTACTGGGAATCTAGCCACGTATTAAGGCAATCTGTTTTTGAATCTTGAAAAAGAAGACATTGATTACATTGCACTGTCTTTTTTTTTTCCTTCTCTTATTACATATTATTTTTGCGATTACAGTGTTAAGTCTTGGTTCTTATGTCTTTGAGCAGAAGAGTGTATTAGTTATTTTATATGAATTTTTCCTTGTCTTTAATACTCTGTAAGTGTTTTCCTGGCACAAAATAAAATACTTGGGGTCATATTATCTGAATACTTGAAAACTGAAATTGATAAGATGCATTATGTAATGAATTAGTTTTTATTTCTGGGTAAAATTAGAAATGAAATAAAGATTTGCACTACCTAAAGGATGACAATAATGATAGTGCTTAAAAGCACTATGAGCCTTTTTGTGTTTGAGGCATCCAAAATTCAAATGCTTACTAGATTTTTCTCTGGAAATCCCGCTCTTCTTTTCTGTGCTTCATGAATTTCCTCTTGTTATTGATGTTGTAGAACAGCAGGGTTAAAGTGGCATATATATATATCTGTGCTCATTATGAATCCCATAGTCTTTCTAGTTAGGAAAAAATAGTCTCAAAAATACTCAGTGTCATTTTTATTAATATTTTACCCACTAATGTTATTTTTAGAAATCTTTAATCATTTTAATAAGGTGTCTATAAAAATTTAAAGCATTACATATTGCATTGGACTAGTTAGTTAAGAGTAAAAAAAAAACCTAGCTTACTGGGACTTTAGATGCTCCATTAGTTAAATTTCAAATTTTTTTTAAAAAAATTGTATTTAAGTTATACAAGTTTCAAATATTTCATATATACAGATTTAGGAACGTGGTGGGATTCCGCCTCCCCCTCCCCCACCACCTCCCCACACTTCAACCCGTCCTCACAGCCAGAGGGTACCTCAGATAAAACAGAGAGCCCTCACCAGGCTCTCAATCTGCTGGCACCTCAATCTTGGACTTCTTGGCCTCGAACACTGTAATATATAAATTTCTGTTATTTGTGTAGAAAATTTTAGAATTGTATATATGAACTACATGAAATTTGTTTTTTTGTATTAATATTGCATTAGCTTGAGCATTGATAAGAATTGTGTTGTAGTAATTATCATGCATTTGCTGTGACTCTGGAAGTCTAATGTGTTAGTAAATAAATTCCTTTCCAAAAAGAAAAAAACAGGAAACTATTATAATATCAATAGGCATCTTATAGTTTTCTAATTTGTGGTTTGAAATGGAGCAGCAACCAGAAAAAAATCCTCCTCAAAATCTTCAATAATTTAGAAATACAATGGTCTTAGTTCAACAACAACAATAAAAATGTGTGTGTGTGTGTGTGTGTGTGTGTATGTAATTAAAGTGGCAAGAAGACAGACAGAGCTTCCATCCACTGGTTTACTTCCAAATATCCAAAATGGCTGAAGTTGGGCCCGCTGAAGCCTGGAGCTGGGAGCCATGGAGCGAGGAGCCAGGAGCCAGGAGCCAGGAGCCAGGAGCTCTATCTGGGTCTCCTATTTGATAGCGAGGACACACTTAGCAATCACCTACTGCCTCCCTGAGTTTGCATTAACAGGAGTTAGAATTAAGAGTTGAGCTGAAGGGCTGGCTCTGTGGTGCAGTTGGTTAAAACCCTGTCTGTAGTGCTGGCATCCCATATGGGTGCTAGTTCAAGTCCTGGCTGCTCCATTGCCTATCCAGCTCCCCGCTAATGAGTCTGGTAAAGCAGCGGAAGATGGCCCCAGGGCTTGGGCCCCTGCACCAACATGGGTGATCCAGAAGAAGCTCTTGGCTCCTGGCTTCAGCTTGACCCAGCCCTGGCATATACAGCCATTTGGAGAGTGAGCCAGTAGACAGAAGATCTCTCCCTCTCTGTCTTTTCTTCTCCCTCCATCTCTGTAACTCTGCCTTTCAAATAAATAAATAGATCTGGGGCCAGCGCTGTGGGTAGCAGGTTGGGGCCCTGGTCTGAAGTGCCGGCATCATATATGGACACTGGTTCTAGTCCCTGCTGCTCCTCTTCCAATCCAGCTCTCTGCTATGGCCTGGAACAGCAGTAGAAGATGGCCCAGTCCTTGGGCCTCTGCACGCACATGGGAGACCAGAAGAACCTCCTGGCTCCTGGCTTTGGATTGGCGCAGCTCCGGCCATTGCAGCCATTGTGGCCATCTGGGGAGTGAACCAGCAGATGGAAGACCTCTCTCTCTGTCTCTACCTCTCTCTGTAACTGTCTTAAAAGAAATCTTTAAAAATCAGTCAGTCAATCTTTAAAAAAGTAAGTTGAGCTGAGATCCCAGTGACATTGTAAGCACTTGTCCCTGGAAGCCATGGTTAGTACTAGAATGGTAGATGAGAAACAAAGATTATTATTTAGCGTTTTCTTGGATTTATAGCTAATTTCCAAAAGGTAAAATATGTGTAGGTATATTATTTCAAAAACAATAAGGATGAAGTTGTACTTGTAAAAGAGTTGACAGAATCTTCAAAGGACTGATATTATTCTTGCAGCAAATCTTTGCATACATTGAAAAACTTAGTTTGTGATTTTTAAAGAAATCACAAACCAGGGTAAAGGTCCAAGACACAAAAAAGCCCATTTTATAAATTCATCTTTTTAGAAAAAAGATTAGCTCTTTAATCAAGAAAATGCCAGACTCTGTAGATTTAAAGGAAAAAAAAAAACAAAGGAAAGCAGCAGAATAAAATTTAGGAGATATAGGATGAGGATTGGAATTGGTGATGCCTTTCTAAACACAAAACATAAACTATTAGGTAACATTTAAAAGACAAAAATGTGGCTCTTGACTACTAAAAAAAATCAAAGTGGTATCAAATTTTGGTGCAAAAGATTTTCAGATCTAGGTGAAGATTTATAATAAATGCATTTTCCATGAACTTTTTCAAGCCCCCTTGTATAACAAGCATCAATAGAAGACATTGGTAATTTGAGAATTTGTACAGCAAATAATTTACCTTATTAGTCATACAACATTATCAATTACTTAAAAACTTTTTTTTTTTTAAAAAAGGATTTATTTATTTATTTGAAAGGCAGTGTTACAGAGAGGCAGAGGTAGAGAGAGTCTTTCACCCATTGGTTCACTCCCCATGTGGCCGCAACAGCTGGAGTTGAGCTGATCTGAAACTGGGAACCTGGAGCCTCTTCTGAGTCTCCCAGGCAGGTGCAGGGGCCCAAGCACTTGGGCCATCTTCTACTGCTTTCCCAGGCCAGAGCAGAGAGCTGGATTGGAAGTGAAGCAGCCAGGACTGGAACCAGCACCCATATGGGATGCTGGCACTACAGGCAGCAGCTTTACTGCTACGCCACAGCACTAGCCCCTTAAATGACTCTTCAAAAAACATGACAATAGGTCTGATCTGATTTCATCATCATTTAAAAATTCATCTATTATTTTTCACTTTATGTTTCTGTGTGGGAGCAAACTGTTGAAATCTTTACTTAATGTATGCTAAACTGATCTTCTCTATATAAAGAGAATCGAAAATGAATCTTGATGTGAATGGAAGGGGAGAGGGAGTGGGAGAGGGGAGGGTTGCGGGTGGGAGAGACGTTATGGGGGGGAAGCCATTGTAATCCATAAGCCGTACTTTGGAAATTTATATTCATTAAATAAAAGTTAAAAAAAAAAGAATAATTGCACAAAAAGTGATTTGAGAATCAAAAAAAAAATCAGATTGAGGAGTAATTTTGAGGTAATTGGCTGGAGTTTTACTCTCGCAGTAAATCTTTGGCATGGCTATAAAATATGATATATGTGAAATATATGAATTTTGAGACAAGTAATTAAAAATGGGATGCTTGAACTACAGCGCTGTGATGTGATGACAAGGGAGAGCAGTTAATTTATTCTACAGAGATGACCGACTTGGGTCACTGCCCTTCCAGGCCCTGGTTCCAGGTGTGGTCCCCAGGGCATCCGGGCTGGGTGAGCACCAGAGGTTTGCCTGCCCCATGCTTGGCACTCGCCTCCTGCTCTGTCAGTAATCCCTTTGCATGAGAAAGTGCCAACCTCAGTTCCTGAAGCCCTCTCAAGGGCTTTGCAGTTTTAAATATTTCAGCCCGAATCTACCTATTCATGATTGCTACAGGGCTGTCTTAAAAGGAAAGCTCCAGGTGAGTGAACCACAGCTATTCCATGCATTTAAGCTTTCTCTTATTCATCTGGAAGCATCTGAGCCTGAAAGGGTCCACTGGAGGAGGGCTGTGGCATTTAATTGACCTTGAGAGATTGGGGTGCCCTTTCACTTCCCTGAGCCTCCTTTCCAAGGGAGTGACTTGGGAATCCAGCCAAAGACCCTCTCCTGGATTAGCTGTCTCCCTTTTTAGCATAAGATTTAAAACTAAACTAAGGGTTTCCTCTCTAAGTAGAAATAGAGTAATTAATGCTCACTTGAATAGAGTAATTAAGCAGAAGCATAAAACATCTGTGCATTAAAGGAAAAGTCCCCAGTTTAAAAACATTCCTTAAACCGAAAGTTCAAATGCTATAGCCTGGATTTTTCTAGATTTTATATCTTTGCTTCCCTGCTCATTAACCCTACCCAAAGTAGCAATTCATTACTCCGACATTTAAAGTTGAGGCCAAAATCTTCCCTTCATCTACTTTTCTACTACTACTTCTTACCATAGTTTCTCTTTTAAACTGGACATTTTCAACTTTACCCAGACATTCCCTCCACACATCTACATATATATATATATTTTTAAAAGATGCATTTATTTGAAAGAGTAACACAGAGAGAGAAAGAGAGGCAGAGAGACAGGGAGAGAGAGGTCTTCCATCTGCTGGTTCACTCCCCAGCTGGCCACAATGGCAGGAGCTGTGCTGATCTGAAGCCTGGAGCCAGGAGCTTGCTCCAAGTCTCCCATGTGGGTGCAGGGATTCCAACTACTTGGGGCATCTTCCACTGCTTTCCCAGGCCATAGCAGAGAGCTAGACTGGAAGTGGAGCAGCCGAGACTTGAACCAGTGCCCATATGGGATGCTGGCACTGCATGTGGTGGCCTTACCCACTACTCCACAGCACTGGCTCCCGTATATTTTCTTAATCCAGCCTGACACTCTGATATGCATAATTTCTGTCCCACCGTATTTTTGTCAATTAAAATACCTTTAACATGTCAAGATAATAGCCCTAATTATATTTTTGTTAGATATTTTATTAGATATTGTACCAGCCGAAATGATTTTCATGCATTATCTGATTTCATGCTTAAACCAGTCCTATAGGGTACATGTTAATATCTTCATTTTACAATTTAGAAAACTGCAAGTTAAGCATCGTTGCCTACATTTTACAGATTAGATTCAGAGCAGTTATACCCATCGCTTCCAGCGAATGGATGCCGAGCCAAGGCCTGCACAGATGATAACTCCAAAGCACGCGAAAGTGCTTCAGCACCCACTGGCTGCCTGCAGAGTGACCCTAAGGTGAAGGAAACATATGGGTTTCCATCCTCCAAACAGGAAGACTTTTTTCCCTTTCAATAGTACTATATATACCACCCCTTGGTGACATTTACTGTGTTTAAATTTATTCTGAAATTTTATTTTATTCTTAATTTATCAAGGTGATCATTTTCTTATCATTTCATCTAAAATAAGAAACAATAGATCTTAAATAACTTACCCAGTATTACTATAGTTGTTAATATTCTCCATTTCACACATAATAGTCTGAAAATAAATGACCACTGAATTTGGTAGAATAGAAAATTCACACATAGGAGTACGGATTTATACCTAAAATTACAGGTTGAAGAAAATATAAAATGTATATTTACATTTCTTATGACAAGACACATGACTGTGAAGCTGCATTGAATCTAAGGAGAGTGTCGGATATAAGGACC